GTATTTTTAGGTTTAAGATTTAATTTGGGGGTTGGGGTTAGGATTAAGGCCGGGTTAGAGAAGGGATGAAGATTAGGTTGAGGAGATACATGAGGTGTATGTGTGGATGTATTTAGAAGTACAACATATATAAATTTAAAATCATATTTTATATCTGTTGACTAAGGGAATGGTTCCAGATAGATTTAAAGCTAATTGGCAGAAATGTGTTTGTATAATATTTACCATTAGTAGGTAAGTGTTGTACACAGGGTTTTTATTATGGAGTTTCTATTAAAGAAACAAACCCAGAGTTCCAAGACTTTCTGGCAATGTCATGTTAAGTGCAATACCACTGAGAACCAACAGGGGCGCAGGAAAACATATTCTCCCTTTACCTTGTTGGTGGTTGTTAAGTGCAATACCACTGAGAACCAATAGGGGCGCAGGAAAACATTGTTCTATATAAAAAAAAACTGATAGATTTTATAAATAAAAAAAAATACTGCAGATTTCTCTAGGTTAACTGACCTAAAATATAACCTCATATTTATATTACCTTATTTTATTGTTGTTATTGTTTTCATTTCTACATTTTATTTGTAAAAACTTGTCATGTTCCTTTTGCCTGAGTGTAGCGTTGACCTCTGGTCTGACTTCCCAGGTGACCTTCATGAAGAGGAAGTTTGGCCTGATGAAGAAGGCCTATGAGCTGAGCGTTCTGTGTGACTGTGAAATCGCCTTAATCATCTTCAACAGCTCCAACAAACTGTTTCAGTACGCCAGCACCGACATGGACAAAGTCCTGCTCAAATACACGGAGTACAACGAGCCCCACGAGAGCAGGACCAACTCGGACATTGTAGAGGTGAGTGGGCTGCTCCTCTAACGTAAATAAAATAATATTAAATGTTGGTTTTACAAAATCAGAGAATCACAGGCTGCTCAGGTCCAGCCCCTTTTTTTTATAACGTATCATCACCGTAAGATGGAGGGTTGAAAAGGAGAAGAGAAATAGCTAGAGTCACCAGAGCGTTGGCAGCGGCAGTTTCAGTTGCTGTGATGAAGCGACGTTAATGGCAAGGTCAGTAATGGCAAGGTCAGACCGGAGAGCTGGACACAAAGGTCAGACCGGAGAGTTGGACACAAAGGTCAGACCGGAGAGCTGGACACAAAGGTCAGACCGGAGAGTTGGACACAAAGGTCAGACCGGAGAGTTGGACACAAAGGTCAGACCGGAGAGTTGGACACAAAGGTCAGACCGGAGAGTTGGACACAAAGGTCAGACCGGAGAGTTGGACACAAAGGTCAGACCGGAGAGTTGGACACAAAGGTCAGACCGTAGAGCTGGACACAAAGGTAAGAACGTAGAGGTGGACACCAAGTGCAGCCACAGCCTGATGACCAGGGACAGAGAGACGGACTGGGGAACAAGCTCCAGGGGCAAGAACACACAGTGGTAAATACTGCTGGACATGAGGGGCATGTATTATGTAGTAGTAGTAGTAGTAGTAGTAGTAGTAGTAGTAGTAGTAGTAGTAGTAGTCATTAAAATAGGGCATCATGGAAGTGTCACATAATGATTAAAAACCAATTATGAGAAAAAAGTTTTTCATAAAATTATCCCATATAATTTATTACATTATTCAGATTAAAACCTGCTGTTATTCATTTTCTTCCAGTAATTAAATAAAACGATATCATAATGAAGAACCTTAATTTATCCTGAGTAATCACAATTAATTGTGAATTATAATTATAATTATAACTGTGTTTAATTGAGATTAATCATGATAAATTCCCAACTTCTTCTTCTTATTTTAACTATTATTTAACATTTATAATATCTTATTATCATATATATATATATATATCACAGAATTTAGACCAACATTCTAATCCAGTCTTATCAGACAGACAGCGACAGACTCCTCAGGTCTTACACTGTCTGTAATATTTACATTTATTTGCAGATACTTCATTTTGAACAGCAGCTAGTTAGCAGATCATAAAGCAGTTCAAATACAGTACACGTCGCTGCGAGTGTCTCTCCTGTAAAGACGCTACAGAGTCAGACCTACCAAATACACTATCAGCCCACTCCACTGCAGCAACATCTTGTAAAAATCCATCGCGGTGACGAGTTCCAGCTACTTTCTGCACCTCTGGGGCAACATGTGGGTCGAATATGTCCAGCATTACCCTGCTCTTTGGGACGGGACCAGGATTCTTTTTCTTGCACTGCCAGCCACATATTTGGCCAGCGTTTCTGCCAGCTCCTACGAACATGGTCCAAGTGCTGTAATCACATGGACATGATAGCGTCAGGACAGGTGCAGTCCAGCTGAAACCTGCTTCTCTGCTGCTGGAGAAACCCCCAAGTAAACTGGATTTACTTATTTTAAGATCTATCCCATTGTTTTTTAGGGGAAGGGCTTTTTTTTTGTTAACAAACGTGTGTTTTCTATCTGATTTCAAATGGAACGTAGATGCTGAACTAACCAAAATGGAATCCGTTTTCTTTCAAATGTATGATTCTCCTAAGGGGTTTAAAGTTTGATTTTTTTTTAATGTCTATTTGTGATCAAATTATAAACAATGATGTGCAAATCTCAGCCATGTGCCATTCAGGAATCACAACCACTGTGGTCTGAATCAAAACAAGCTGCTCTCAGTGGAGAATGCTGCTCGTTTTGGCCTGGGTTTAAGACATTAAGACCATTAAGATACGAGACTCTGAATCACCTGTCAGTTTGATTTTCTCGATCAATCTTCTATTTTTTACACTTGTGTTGCACTTTTTAAAGAACTTTAATGTCGTCTAGGAACAGCAGCACGTTGGCTGTAGCTGCGCTCTCCTCTACCTGACCCGTGTCCCTCTGACACTGACATAATTCAAGTGACCTGTGATTCTGTAGAGTAACACCATCCTGCCACAGATGAACAGGCAGCACAGACGCCCCTTATTCTAAGTCGTCCACCCGTGCTTTCAGGTCCTACATTGTACCGCCAGCAGTGTTGCATCATGGTCCCTGAGCAGTGCTCTCCTACCTATCGCAGCACGTAGCCACGGCCGCTGCCGTTAAAAATGAATGGTCACTGTGACTCACGTTCAGGCTGTTTATGTAACTACTAATGAGTGTGTTTGCCTGGCCGAGAGTCTGTACTTAACGCTCACACCCTCTTAATGTCTCTGCACAACGACACACATGCACAAACACACACACATTGAACAATTTGTAAAAAAAACACAAAGTTGGGGGTGCAGAGTTATTGACAAATTTCAAATTTCCATATTTTTTCTGCCACAGTGGTGGGGGTTTGAATTCTATTTTCTTTGTTTAATGAGAAAAAAATGGTTTGTAGGAGTTACAGTGTTTTATATGTCACCTTTCGGTTTGACAGCACTCCTATGTTCAAAAGTGGGTACTGCAGACACAGTTCAGGAACCTCTTACCCCAACTTCACCCTAACTCTAATCTGGGCCTAATTTCAATCCTAACTCTAAACTTAATCTTGATTGAGTGATGATTTCCAAAACAATATTATATTTACAAAATATCTACACTAGTAGCTATAAAACACACACAAACAAACAGCCATCTGCAAAGAAAGATAAACCTCTGAACTAAAATATATTTCCTACTTCCTGAAAATGATAGCGTCTCAACTGTGAGTGACACGCAATATTTTTCACACTTCATCCTCCCTCATTACAACCAGCTCTGTTTGTAAAGAACATGCTGGCCGCAGGAGCGTGACGGTAATCCTGCATAACATAATCACATCTGGCCTCTAGTTGTAAATCCCACACAGACACCTGTGTCGTTTTTTCGCGTGGCCATTAGCCAGGTCCATTTGCCTACACATGGGCCTGATTTGTTTATTTTTCCTCCACAAATGTCACGCAGACAGAATAAACTGGACAAAACAAAAGCTGCAAAGTAGAAAGCTGCACATTTACATATCGTCCACTTCATCTGCAACATGAGGGAATGGGATTTGACTATGTTCATAGTATTACACCACAGAGTGCAACAGACAACCATGTGTCGTGAGTGAGCAGGAGGAGCCTTGATGGTTGATGGTACATGATGTTTGTTGGCTGATAAATATGTCGGTGTCACACACACACAGACCGTAGTTACAGAGTAATATTGTGACCCAGAGTTTGGCTGTTTTGAATCCTCATAGTTACCAGTTGTTGTCTTTCACTCTGGAATAACAACACTAGACATTTATGTTGGTTGAATATCAAAACTGAAGCTCTTTAAAAAAAACATGTTGGTTGAATATCAAAACTGAAGCTCGAGAAGCTCGAGAAAAAACGAGAATTGCACAACTACTACAGTATTTACCCTTTAAAATGGGAAGGTCCATGACTCTTTTGTAAAGTTCCTCTTTTTACAGACTTTTTCTCCGTTCAAATATTCAGACATCACTGTGTTTATCAGCGACTCGGTCACAGCCGTGGATAAGCAACGATGTTTCAGTCTCAACTGAAGTCTGATTTTTTTTAAGTCTCTTCACCGTGGAGATCTACGACCATATGGAGGAGACAAAAGCCCTTTGAGATAAAACCAAAAAAAAAAAAAAAAAAAAGAGAGAGAGAGAGAGAGCCAAGAAGAGAGATTTTTTTTTTTTAATTTTTTTATAATATTCCACTTCCAGCAACTACAACTGGTCCCAACTGGTCAGCCAGTCCCACAAACAGATTACTTTTGTCATAATAATGAGACAGGTTTGTGTGCTACAGAGTTGAGTTTCAACAAAAACACAGCAGCTGTCCAAGGTATGCACTGGAGCCCTCTCAGCCCCGGCTCTCAGAGTGAGCGCGGAGATGAATGGGAACCATTAGAGGAGGGTCGGGCTGCAGCACACCACTGAGAGACTGACACTTTGCCATATAGCACAGCAGTTGCTATGGTTTAATTCAATATGATGGGTTGGGAAAATGTGTGTGTGTGTGTGTGAGAGAGCTGGGCTTATCTGCCATGTGTGTTGAATCACATCTCAAGAACTCTCGTGCCGGTGCTATTCTTAGCCTATAGGGCAAACACCCAACTGGAAAAGACTCACTCCAGGGAAATAGGCTGCTTTGCCTTATTTTGGACACAGCCCCAGTCGCAACCTTCACATGTTAAGATACTAAATACCTGCCGCTCCAGCTCGAGCGTGGTGGCAGCGATTCAAAGTTCTTTAGTAATCCACTCAAACCACTTTGACATTTGAGATAAAGTCGCACGCGAGCTCTCAGAACTCCCCAGAGAGAGAGAGACGTGGTGAGATAGTCTTCTGTTCTCAGACATGATGTAGTGGTTAGAACCAGCATCTGTGGAGCCACGTATAGATCTTTAGGTTCTTGGACCCCGGTACCTCAGATGCTCACTGTGTCCCCCCAGTGGCCCTGGAGGAAACGCTTCCTTTGTTAAGGAAGCTGGAGCTGCTCCACTTTAAAAGATAAAGCGTAAGGCTACCTGAGTCTGTCGTAAAACTGAACTGAAAATGAACGACATCACATGATTGGTAACAGCTGTTTTCTTGCTGGAAAATACTTAGCAGTGCTGCTCAGGTCAAAGTGAGTTCCTACATGACGTCCTGCAGTAGTGGAGGAGTCTCTTAACGCTGACAAACTAAAAACTCTTTATTTAAACTTGTTATCAGTTTATGTCTTTGCTTGTCGCCACTAAAACACTAGAGAAAACACTGAGCTCTCTGAATACAGCAGCGTAGGCCTTCACTGTAGGCTTCCACCACAAAGGAGAAATGTTTAGAAATGTTTATAAAAATGTTTATTTTTAAATGTTGTATTAATTGTGCATGGTATGTTTCAGATTTATTCAATTGAAAAAGTAAAAGTGAAAATATGAATTTTCCCCGCGTACCACTAAAGAGCGCGTACCACAGTTTGAGAACCACTGCTCTATATTATGTTATAATATTAATATGAAATGTCTCACTCTTCCTCTCTGAGCTCCAACACCAGATTTCTTTCCACTCCACAGTCCTTCTAGAACAACAGAGATGTGAAAGATACACGTTCTTTTGACTCCTCATTCGTCCAACTCAAATGTTCTCATTTAATGTTGAACTAAATGACATTTTTTGAATTCACTGACGGATAATTACCTTTTCACTTGTCATTGTGACTTAAAATCACCATAAACTCATCCACTCATAACTGACACACACTGTAGCCCAGTCTGCCGTCTCTTAATTAGACCAAACAAACGGAGGGTCCAGAAAACACGCAGCCGGAACAATGAAATGAGCAGCGAGATGTTTACTAGAGCGTGGGAAAGAGGGAGGGTCTTTGGTGTGTCTTCTCAAGTGGTCACCAGTTGTTGTGTTGGATTTAAGGCCTACGGTAAAAATAGACTGACATGTGTGTGTGTGTGTGAAGCCTCCATTAACTCGTCTGTGACTTCACTGGACATGTGCTGGACAGACAGACAGAGAGACAGAGAGACAGACAGTGGGCTGCTGTGTGTGTCTGTCAGTCTTGTGATGTGTGTGGTGTAATGAGGAGCGGGGGTGAGATGACGTGTAGGAAACAGAGGTGATGTCATGATGTCTGATGTCACTCTGGTTTCGATTTAATATCATTTAATTCGTAGCCGCAAACCAAAGCTCCAGGTGCCGCAGTCGAACATCCTTCAAAATCATTCGCACATTTTCTAAAACTCCCAAGGTCCCAAAATAAAAAAAATACCCATCAAACTCTAATTAGACCCAGTATTGTGTATGTCTTCATTGAGAAGTTGAATCCATAAGTTCACAGACGTCAACCGCTCCTTTCAGACATCGGTTCCTATCAGTCAGTTGAACACAGTGTTCATTCATATAGACTCTCATCTGCTTCACATCTGGATCATTATGTAAAAGATTGACACAATGTTCTATTCAAGAAGTTTTCAAACAAGTGATTAAGACCCTGAAGTCCTGAAGAAATGTTTGTTGATGTTATAAGTTTAGGAGAGTTCCCCCTTGTGGTTCACAGTCACTGGTCCATCTGCTACGGTTCATGTTTAGAACTAACACTGTTTATGTGTTGTTGTTTTTTTTAAACCAAAGTTTCCTCATGTCCTGTTGCAGAAACAGAAACTCGAGATTCATTTGAAGATTATTTTATAATAGACTTTTATACAGAGACAGTAATGTTAACGCAGCTGTTGGAAAGATTATATAAAAGCAATTCATATTTAAATATTATTTTCATTTTTCACTGAATCTCCAGATATTCAAGAACAAATGCTAACATTTGCCATTAAGAATTCTTAAACATGCCTAAAAATGAAGGTCAATTAAGGATTCTTAAACATGCCTAAAAATAAAGGTTAAATACATAAATAAACAGTAACAACTATTATCAAGACTCTGCCATCCATAAATAATTCAAACTATTTGCTTTTGTTTTCATTGCAATTTAAAAAAAATAAAGCATGTTTCTACAGTGAGATAAGATAAGAGACGTGTTGCTTTCTTATTACTAATCTCCAGAGAACTGCCATCCAACCATCCAGTCACAGGCCAACTTCTCTAAATTGCTTCATCTCGTGCACCCTGTGAACTTTTCGATTTTTTTTTTTTTCTCACTTTGGTTTTCCCTCGATCTGTCCACGATTACAGACGACTGAAAAACACAAGTGTACTGAGGGCGTGCTCTGTGTCGAGGCAGCCGTGACTGTGGGCATTCACTTTAATGTGACGTTGAACTGTTTGAACTTGGAACTAGAAACTATCGTCGACTGATGGACAGGAAACTGAATGCATTTACAGTGTTAGCTCAGAGGATAAACTGTCATTTCTACATTTTATCTTTGTCTAATAATTATTGAAAACCACAGTAGAAGACTTGAGCTGATATGTTCACTTTCTACTTCTCTTTTTTTTGTGTTGAGTGTTTTGGACATAGTGCTGTTTACGAAGCATGGGCAAACTAAGGCCCGGGGGCCAGATGTAGCCTGTACAGCTTTTTAATCTGGCCCGCCAAACTTTACCAAATTATATAATTTATTTATAATACCATTTTATTTCTACATTTTCCATGCAATTCCCACATTCCACCAATATATGGTGTAAAAAAATGATAAAAGCATTTTAGCCTTGCATGACTTTTACATGTCATTTATCTTAGTTCGCACGAAATCTCCTGACCCCCCCAGTCAAATGTTTGGACCAATTGTGGCCCGCGAGTCATAATGTTTGCCCACACCTGATCTACACTGTAGACTCTTGGCTTTGTTGAGTTTTTTTTTTCTTTGTTGATTCTCTTGTACACTACTGTAAACACTAAAGACAAAGTCTTCTCAGGACCTGCAGCGAAAAAAAAGGAAAGAAAGAAAGAAAGAGCAGCCTCTCTCTGGAGGAGCACTTCAGATCTTTTAACGTCCACATCCTGAGACCTTTCCTTTCGTGTGTCATGTCGTGTTGGCTGCCTCGCGGCTCCTTCGGTCGTTCAGTCTGTCAGAGCCTGAAGAGAACACACAGTCGGTACAGGAAGAGGAATTTGATCTGAAGAATAAATGCAGCTCTTTCACTTTAGTGAACGCAGAGACGACGTCAGGTCAGAGTCGTCTCAGAGTCGTCTCTAAATGTCCGGACTCGGCACCAGTGACGTTGCTATGACTTTTGTTAGCATGTTGTTATTCAGACAATTACATGTTTGACACACATGAACTGGAGCAGTGATTCAGTTTGTCATGTAAAAAAAAAAAACACCAATGTCTCTGTCGTAACAACATTAACAAAGAAATGTTTTTTCTATGAATTACCTTGTTTACAAAATGTTACTAAGCAGTGTTAAAAAAAGTTTTTTTTAATTTTAGCGCCCCCTAGGACTGTAGATAGGACTAACGTTGCTACCGTTACAACAGTAACAGCTGTTGGTTCAAAAACTGCGCTTTTTAATCGAAGAAAGAAAATAAATTTTAAAATCAGCACAACGTTCCAACTGTGGCACAAATAAAGAAAATATTACAAATTAAATTTAATTAATTTGATTTTCTGCACCCACCCTGCAATGGCTCCACGCCCTCTTGGTGGGGCCCGCCCTTTACTTTGACAATCACATGTCAAAAATGTTTGTTTTTAGCACTAAATATCACTAGTTTTTATTTAATTTGTAATATTTTATTAACATAATATATTTTTATAATATTATTTACCTGTAAAAACATGACTTGATTCAAACTATAACTAAACTTTTTCCAAGCTTTTTTTTAAATGGTTTTCTGTGATTAATATGACAGTCAGTTCTCTCTAATTAAAATGTTTGGTTTTTTTTGCAGCTTCTTTTTTAACTACATTTATCTGGTATTTCACCCGAGTGCTCACTCTTATATAAAATAAAATAAACTTCATCGGATGCATTTTTCCATGAAGGCAGGTTTTAACTGCAGGAACTCTTGTTTTGCCCACAGGCTCTGAACAAGAAGGAGCACAGAGGCTGCGAGAGCCCTGACGCTGACGCCTCCTACGTCCTCACCCCCAGCACCGAGGAGAAATACAAGAAAATCAATGAGGAATTTGACAACATGATGAAGAGCCATAAGATTGTGAGCTTCGAGTTGATAAAGTTTAAAAACTTGCATGACTAATACAAGAAAACAGTAGAGCTGCAGAAATGTGGAAACTGAGTAGCAATTATGTAGAGAGAGGAAACGTGAGAGGAGTTGAGATATTTTACCAAGATAATTCTGAGTAGATCTGCAGGAGGAAATGACTTAAGGCTTTGTTTTTCTAACCCTGGTTTCTCTGCAGGAGCTCACATCAAACAGTCCTCGGTCCTAACCCTAACCTTTTCTTTCACCCTCCAGTCGACAGGACTTCCTCAGCAGCACTTCATGCATTTAGCGCCGGGCAGCATGTCGTACGGCCCAGGTGCAGGGGGAGGAGGAGGAGGAGGAGGTGTATCTTCTCAGGCTCTCGCTGCAGCCACAGCTGCTCTGGCTGACAGTGGTCTCCTCTCTGCACATCACTCCCACCTTCACAGAAACCCCCCACAAAGACCACCAAGCAGCGGAAATGCAGGTGTGTGTCTGTGTGTGTCTGTGTGTGTCTGTGTGTGACAAGGAAATGCAAAAACAATCACACTTCTTTTTTTTCTTTTTTTTCACCTGGTCAAACGCTGCGTTGTAACTGAGCTTCACACAGACACCGTTTCTCTCTGAGGGCTTCAGTTAATGACCTCTGCAGTCTTTCAGCCCACGGGTGAAAAACTGAAATATTTGCAGCCCTCTTGGTGGCGCTGGTGGCCCAAGTTTGGGCTGCAGCTCCAAGGTTAAGAATCACCAGTCTAGAATATTCTCTAGAATAACCTCAGATATACGTTTATTGTAGATTGATGGGAAAATTGTTGGGAAAATAATATTGTATTTTCTTTGTGTTCTTTTGCTAGGAATTTATTTAAAATAAAAAAAACATACAAAAAACAATATATATCCCCTGTGCCTGATCACGATTACAACGTAGACAGTGGTGATAATGATCAGGAAGTTCTGGGAAAAATGAAAACCACCAGACAAAGTCAAAACACGGCTACTGTGTCAGCTGTTACTGCCTGGTTGACGTGCTGATGCGCTTGTGTTTGTCCTCAGGTGGCGTGCATGGAGGTTCGGACATGGTTCTGCAAAATGGATCTGGACCACTTGGTATGTACTAAAAAAATAAAAAAAACACTTTGACACATGGAGTTCACAGTTAGCATTTAGAGCTCACCTACAGACACGGACGTGAATCCCCGTTAGAGTCGCTCACATCTGCTCCTCTCATTCACTCCTAAATCAGCCGCTCAGAAAGAGGAAAAGCCTCCTCCTCTCTCCTTCTGCTCCTGCTCCTCCTCCCTTTCCTCGGGCTGGTGCAGACAGACAGGATGTAGGCTGACAGTCTCTTAAACATCCTGTCTGACTGCATACATCACACACTACTTCAAACTCCATAATGCCTCTGGACTACACACATGTGCTGCACCCAGCGGAGAATCACCTGGTGAAACCAGATTCCCTCTCCCTGACATTTATGTGTTACATCTCCACATGTGCGTCTGAGTTTCGGATGTCGTTTGGATTTGATTTGTAGATCACTGAGCAGAAAGTATTTCGGAAAAACAAAAATAAAAAGTTTTAAAATTCAAGGTTTTATTCAGTCGCTTCATAGTTTTGTATGTCCATCTTTTCTGCTGTATTTTTGCAACTTTTTAAGTTAGGGTAAAATTGGAATTGAACCTACTTCTCATTTAAGCTGCTGTTAAAGATTACATTACTACGTTTATCCAGTTTACTGACCTAGAATCTTTTGTACTAAGCTGCTGTTAAAGATTACATTACTAAGTTTATTCAGTTTACTGACCTAGACTTCAGAAAAAAAAATCTATTGGAATTGAACCTACTTCTCATTTAAAGATTACATTACTACGTTTATTCAGTTTATTGACCTAGACTTCAGAAAAAAACAAATCAGTCAGATGAAAAAAAGTTTTCATCTGACTCCACATCTCCATTTGTTAAATCCCTTGTTGTAAATGTTCAATCAGAAACCTTCACTCTTTGAAATATTTAAGTAAAGATGGAAGTTTTTCTCCAAGTTTTGTCATGGTCCATAACAAGGACCGACTTCCTGTGAAGATTTGATGCCAATCATTTTTTTTTTTTTTCCTGGGAGAGGTCAGGACTTCACATCAGACTCAAGGCCCGAGAGGCCGCAGCCTGTGTTTCTTCAAGAATGTGGATGTGACTCTGTGTCAGTGCCGGTCTGTCAGCTGTATTTGTCTTTATCGTCTGCCCCGGTGCCGTCTGTGCTCCTCACAGACTCCTCTCGCTGTCATTCCGTCTGCGGAACAGCACATCCCATACCGGCACTGCCTTTATGTGATGTCAAGAGCGAGACAAGATCAATTATTCATTATTATCTTTTGTATAATGTATAGCTGCACTTCCTCCATTCTTCACTCAACTGCAGACACATTTAATCTTTACATCTTCAGATGCTCCTTCTCATTTAAGCTGCTGTTAAAGATTACATTACTAAGTTTATTCAGTTTACTGACCTAGACTTCAGAAAAAAAAATCTAAGTTAAATATTTGTACCCCCACCCAAAAAAAAAAGTTTTCATTTGACTCCACGTCTCCATTTGTTAAATTCCTTGCTGAAAATGTTCAATCAGAAACCTTCACTCTTTGAAATATTTAAGCAAAGATGGAAGTTTTTCTCCAAGTTTTGTCATGGTCCATAACAAAGACCGACTTCCTGTGAAGATTTGATGCCAATCATTTTTTTTTTTTCCTGGGAGAGGTCAGGACTTCACATCAGACTCGAGGCCCGAGAGGCCGCAGCCTGTGTTTCTTCAAGAATGTGGATGTGACTCTGTGTCAGTGCCGGTCTGTCAGCTGTATTTGTCTTTATCGTCTGCCCCGGTGCCGTCTGTGCTCCTCACAGACTCCTCTCGCTGTCATTCCGTCTGCGGAACAGCACATCCCATACCGGCACTGCCTTTATGTGATGTCAAGAGCGAGACAAGATCAATTATTCATTATTATCTTTTGTATAATGTATAGCTGCACTTCCTCCATTCTTCACTCAACTGCAGACACATTTAATCTTTACATCTTCAGATGCTCCTACACGTTGTACTTTCACTACAAAGAGAGAGAAACCAAAGGAAGCTCTTTCTTTTTGACGCAGCCTTCCAGTGGTCACAGCAGGTCATGGGTTCAGAATGACCCCAGACAACGCTGGTAAATATTTGTCCTCCATCCATCAGCTTTCCTCAAACTTTCTTTTTTTTTTCTTTTCTTCTTCCCCTCCTTGTCTAGTGAACGGTTTTGTTGGATCACCTGGTGGAAGCACTTTGGGGAAAATCGTACGTTCCAAATCTCCTCCTCCTCCTCCGCCTCCGGGGAACAACCTCGGCCCTGCCAGCCGTAAGAGTGATCTCAGAGTGGTCATACCCCAGTCCAAAGGAATGATGCAAACACTGGTAAGTGGCTGTATGATTGGCTCGTGTTCATGACCTGAGCCAATCATGACTGCCGGCAGTCTAACATACTATGTATCAGTTTAACGTATTCGTACGTTAAACATTAACAACAGCGGCCCGTATTGTTCGATTCTGGTACTGCAGCCTTAATTCAAAACAGAGCTTAGCTTTTGGCTCCATCTCCACAGACTTCAGGTGCGGCCCACTGTCTGCGCTGTTCTTAAAAATATTGAATACATTTTTTGTGCACGTTAGCAACGGGGAGAACAAATATTAAATCAAATCTGCTTTAAGCAAAAATTATTACATTTATTTGTAAAGTTGTGCAGTAATAATTATCTTGCTTTTGCCATTATATATGATATAACATGAATCAGTACAAAGGCACAAGTCTGTCTTTTACCGCACCCCACATGTTTGAATCATAAATATTTCCCTGTGTTAAAAATATTTTAGAAAAAAAAATCTATTTTTAAGGTCTATTTTCTTAGTATAACACTGATATCACTAAAGTATTTTTTCAATTTTACATTATTTTTTTTATTTTTTATAAATAATACCATATTGTGTCTCAGAGCATTGACACGACAGAACTGGTGAATACCAGAAAGTATCATTTGTGACAGAAGCTTTCAAATCTTTGAAGCTTCCCTGAGTGGAAACAGGAGAAAGTAGAAAAATCTACAAATCACTCTGACACATGCACATCAATACTCTCCTCATTCTGTTCAGAAATCGTCTGCAGATGATTGATGAGCAACAAACACAGGCCTCCAGGTTTCCAGCGCCTGAGTCTGACTTTTATTAGAAAACAGAACAGTACATGATGTGCTCCGCGCCTGAAGGATGTTGGACGTGGACGAGACTTGAGTAAATAGATGATGCACATTATGAAACAGTTGGTCAGCAACTTTGCAGAACCATCTGGAACAGATGGTTCGGGGTTTGCAAGTGGAGTCGCTTATTTTTTTAATTTATTTTTTTTCAAGATGAGAAGAAATTGACTGGTTTATAAGTGACAGTCCTTCAAGAAGAAATAAAGGAATTTGTAAAAATTAAAATAATTTTTAATCTGGATTATCTGGCCGGTGACATTTTTTTATTAACTGTCACTGTTGGACAACAGCTTTGACCATATTTGGACCATATGTGTCCCTGTGACTCCAGATCTAATATTATTACTAAAACAAATTAAATATAATTTAAAAAGTCATGTAAAAAATTCTAAATGAGTTCTAAAATATAGGTCAATAATTGAAATTTACTGAGTGCCTTTTAATTAATTTATCGAAAACATTTTTACACCTATAATCTGACAAGAACTCACCAGCAGTAGTTCTCTAAATTTATTTTTTTTTTATTTCCAGGGTGGTTATTTGGTGATGTCTGGACCTGTAGGATGTTTTTTTGTCAGTTGTGTTGGAGTGTCTTTCATGCAGCTTTTTATCAGTTGGCGACAGCATCCCGCTGAAACACAGAGCACAATTATTCACCTGCTGTAGCGTGCCGCAGATCATGATTTGTTTCTGCTTTACATTTATTACGGTAAAACCTACCGAGTCAGTCGGACGCCTCTGGGTTTGTTACTTTCTCTATTGTTTGGATAATTGTTGGGACAACACAAAACAATGCAACGACAAAGAGAAGTCATTTGGATTGCAAATGTGCCGTGGTGTGTTCATCGACTTTATATGAATCCCTCTTTCCTTGAAGAACAAACGTACCTACAGTAGGCATGTTTGTCTGTTGTCTGCCTCATTGTTGTCGGCGTTGTACCGGTGTTACTGTGTCGGCTCGTATAATCGTGACAGGGATAAACACACAGGAACAAAGGCAGGGAAATTCTGCAGGGAGTCAGATTTGGTTAAGTGACTACTTTGATAATGTGTTGTCGTGCTGTCGGCCTCTGTGTGTGTGGGTGAGCGTGCAGTGTGTTTGTCTCTGTGTGTGTCTATATGTACCTGGTGGAAACATACCTTAAGATTCAGGATTAAGATTAGGGTCAAGGTTAGGATGAGAGTTAGGTTATATATATATACATATATATATATACATATATATGTAACATACATTTGTCCATGTTTGGGACTAGAAAATATATTATCTTGTCCATGACAAAACACAAAAACCAGTGTGTGGGTGTGTGTGCGAGGGTGTGTTTGGTATTTTCAGCAGTGAATGACCTAAACAGGGTTGATGTCATCAATGATGTTATAAAGCAGGAACATGGAGTGGTAAAAAATAAAACAACACTTAGTCAAGTTTCTCAAAATTATTTTAAAAAAAGATGCAAAGTGCTTTTCTTAAATACACCTTTCTGTCTTTTTACGGGGAAAAATGAAAAAAAAAAACCAAAACTGATACGTTAGCATTCTTGATACTCAATATTATAGTCAAAATTATCGAGACAAAGTAGAATAAAATGTGTTTTTAAAAATATTATTTTAGCAGCAGGAAAAGGCAGGTTAAGTCTTGTTAACTTGTCACATTTCTTGTTCAATGTCATAATCATGTTTCCCATTATAACCAATAAATATTATAGATCAATAAATATAACCATAGTAATAAAGGACAGAAGGTATGTTGGTCTAATAAGATATAAATATGACATTGGAAATTAGAAATTAAAACTCTTTTAAATTTGTGCTGTTCCTTTGACATTGGAAATTAGAAATTAAAACTCATTTGTGCTGTTCCTGTTTTTGTAAGATTCCCAGTCGTTATCCAGAGTCAGAACCGTCGAGTAAATGTACAAAGTGTTTGCTGTTTCGCAGCCCTTTTTTAGAACAGATTTAAAAGGAGGAAACAGTGTAAGAAGGAGTGAGTGATTGGACGGCTACTGCACTCCCTGTGGTGCTGTTGGTTGGTGGAGGAGAGGAGGGAAGGGAAAGACATTCTCTGTGTTTAAGGAAATATGTTAGCCAGGTGCTGGTGACTTAGTTGTCTGGACAACAGCTGCTACTTCCAGACCGCCAAGGGGTTACAGCAATCTGGACCTTCGTAGCATACAGTATTTATTCTGTTTGATCGAGTTGCGTGGCCATAAATAATTCATATTTAAATAAAGCCTGTCAAAGTCAGAAAAGAAGTAGAACTAGACGTTTGATGTTTCTAATAATAAAAAAAAGAACCAGTTAAAACTTTTTTTTTTTAAATGACCATTTAATGTTTCAGAACAAACCTTGACCTTTAGGACTTGAGATGCAGTCTGAGACTTCCTCCCTGCTAATATTATGGTCTGTTAACAAAGACTAACCAGAGGCAGAAGTTTAAACCTTTACATAAAAAAAAAATCACCAAAACGTTACATACTGCAGCTCCAGGTTACAGTCACACCTCAGTCACGTCTCACGGCGCTGCCTCCTACTCACCAAACGTGCGAGCGCCGTCATCAAACACATGGTGAGGATTTAAAAAAAGGGACATTTTCAGCTCCATTCTAGTAAAATCCCAGACGTTGACAGTTGAAGAGCGATATTTGCACCTGCTCTGTACCAAGTGGTTTGGAGATGAATATCACAAACAACAAAAGTGTCATGACTCTGTCAACCATGTGACTGAATCCCCGTGTAAGTCTTTAGTCCAAAGTTGTTGTTTTTTTCACACACCATCAAATCTTTGTCTTGATCCTCTGTCTAGAAATTTCTCCTTTACAAATATTACACCTCATCCTCGGTTCTGCAATGGAATTGTAGGAATGGGAAATGTTTTGTTTTTTTTGTTTATTTGTTGGGGATTTTTTACCATGAACAGAACAAGAACAAAGAGGAGACGCAGCAGTGTTTGTAGGAATTAAGTCACACTGCCACTGTGTGGTCGAAACATGTTCTCACAGCCTTGCATCATCAGACACTGGAGTTTCACATCAAGTTTGCTAAACTCTCT